TAGTAGAGACGGGGTTTCACCATGTTGGCCAGGACGGTCTCCATCTCTTGACCTCGTGATCCACCTGCCTTGGCCTCCCAAAGTGCTGGGATTACAGGCATGAGCCACCGCCCGGCCACATCATGTTTTCTGAGATGAATTCCATCCTGCACTCACCAAGGTGTCCATATTGTTCAATCCAACAGAGGCCTTTCTCTGAAACACTAAATACAGCTGACTCTACCATCTTTCTAGAAAACTTTTCTTTCCTTGGGTTCTGTGACCATAAGCTCTCTTGGTTTTCCTCTTGGCTCTCCTGAGCCTCTCTTGCAAGCTCTCCTCCACCTCACCTTAAATGTTGCAGTTCCTTCAGATTCCATCCTAGGCTCTTTTCTCCCCTCACTTTCTCCTTTGGGAATCTCATCCCTGCCCGGGGTTTCAGTTATTATCTAGTGTCAATACCACAGGATGACGTTCCAGGCCACACTTTGTTTCTGATCTCTGGACACATATGTATATTCAACCGCCTACTCAGTAGTACCTCCAATCAGCATACTGCAAACTGAACTCATCATTGCCCCTCATCCCAACCTCTCTCCTCTTTCCACATTCCCAATATCAGTGAATGATGCCGCTGCACCCCCAAACTCAAGCCGGGAACCTGGAGGTCATCCTTGATTCCCTCCTCTTTCAGCTCCCCCATATCAAGTTACTGAGCCTTAAATAATTGTCTAAACGCCTCTTGAATCTATTTCTTTGCATCTCCATCACCACCACCCTAGTCTAAATGAGAACCCGTTATCTATCTCTTTAACCTTCAACTACTTCCTAATTGACCAGCATGTATCCACTCTTGCCCCTCTCCAACTCTCTCCTCCTACTGCATTTTAAAACACAAATTTTATGACATTCTTCGGTGACATTCTGTTGTCCTTAGAAGTCCGTCCAAATTCCTTTGAACCATCCAATCATTTCTTATGTCTCCAGCCCTATCAGGCACCACCCTGTCCCTCAGTTTATGCCCCTGCCCTCCTGAACTTCTTTCACATCTAAACAGTCTTGTCCTAAGCTCTGCATAATTTGTCCCCTCACTGCAGAACACATTCCCATCCCCTCTACATCTCTTTCTTGAATGCCTACTTCATTCTTCAGATCTCAGGCTAACGCCATATTTCTACAGCGAAACCTTCCATCATCTCTCAAACAAGGTTGAATTCCCCCTTTACAAACTCATCACACTTGAAAAACCTACTGAACATGTTTCTTCGCTGTTAGATGTAAATTCTATGAGGGCAGGGGCCATGTCTCCTTCGTTAACCATTATAGACACCAGATAAATATGATAGGCTATAAGGGTAAACAGCATGCCTAAATAAACGTATTGAACTATATTATATATAGTGGGCCTCTGATAATAGTCCTAGGATTTTTTCCTTCCTAGTTTTAGCATTTGCTTCCATATCTTGAGAATTAGAATTGAAACTCTGTACTCAAGCCAGATACCAAAACTTCCCCAAAGACAAAACTAATCAGTTGCTGAGCTCTGACCAAGGCATCCAAAAGCCCAGGACCAAAAGCATGAGACATGCCATATCTTCTACTGCCCTAGAGCAAACTGATTTCTGTTTTTCATAAAACAAGAGATTTTTTTAAAGAAGAAGAAAAACAGAAGGGAAAAGGGAACATTTGTCACCTACTGTGCCTTTCAGCAAAGACCCTTAAACCATCTAACCCATCTTTATTCCTCAAGTTTCCGGTGGGTTAGATAGTTGAAATGCTGTGTTCATAAATATGTTTATGAGCAACGATGCCAGCAGCAATTACCATGTCATCAAAAAATACACACATCCATGAAAAATATGGAACTAATTTCTGAGACAACATCTGAGGCAAGCCAGCAGTAGCAACAGAACGATTCCATCCAAGTCTGCTTCGAAAACCTACCACACCTCCAAACCCAGCGTAACACACCTACCCAACACACAATTTAGCCTGTGAAGGTTGGACATGGGAGCAAGAGAAAGAACATAAAAGAAGGGAAGGCCGGGCGCGGTGGCTCAAGCCTATAATCCCAGCACTTTGGGAGGCCGAGGC